GTTTGGTCAAGAACTTGTGTGTCAATGCCGGATAAGTGTGACACTCGAAGAATCTCTACCTTTAAAGAACCTCTAAATTGCCTAAAAAGACAATTTATTTAATATTGAAATAATATAGACAAAATAGAGTCGGAGGTTACAGGAGATTCATATGGCTACCCCACAAATTTACAATTGAGAATTGTTCATTGATCGATTGAGGAAGTCTTCTGTGTTCATCGTCTAATTCAACTTCGCTTACTGCCTCCATTTTCAAATCTTTCTCCATCTTTGAGCCTTTCTTCTACTTCGCTAACCCCAATAGAGACGCAGAGAAACACTTCGAAGATTTGATTAATTTGATTTGATTTTGCCGCTGGTATTTGGTATTTGCCGGAGTGAGAGATTACTTCCATCTGTTTAAAAGCAAGGGATTTTTACGGCGCTAGTCAGATCTTAGGAATTAAGGGGAGAGAGAAACGTGGGATATATGGATACCTTTAATTAAGGAGTAAAAATTGCCCATTAATTAGACCCTTAATTAAGTATGGTATAAGATTGGTAATTTGGTATACGGGTTTGTAATTAAATCAAACCTTAAACATGGAGGGTAAAAAAGTTTCCTATGTGGTATAGGAATGTAAAAATTCCTATATTTAAAAAATGACGGGCCGGCCCGTGGGGGCCCGCGGCCCACATAGGGCTGGGGTAGGCTGACTATTATAAGGCCCATCAAAATGGTGGGCTAGCCCAGCCCAGCCCGTTAATTGCTAAAGCCCACGTGGGCTGGGCTAGGCTAGCTCGGCCCCGCCCATATTGATAGCACTACATACTGATACTTCAAAATTTATATTATTAATAGGAAAATTACCAGCTATGTCCATTTATAAGTAGCTCATTACAAAAATTGTCCAATTGATAGAATATTACTAATATTAGCCAAATTAGCCAATTAGTTATTTGTTACCAAAAAATATCAAATTTTAGCTTTGTTTTGAGTGGGTGTTATTAGAATAGATTGGGCACAACTTAAGGAGCTTGAATCTCAATTTTGGGATGATTTGGTGAAGTTTTGAGGTGGTTTGAATTAAAAATTCGAAGTAAAAGCTGAACATGAAAAAAAAAAAATATGTGTATCACACTGTGTATCATTTGTGTATCACATATGTATCATATTTGTATCAATTGTGTATCACATGTATACTTGTGTGTGAGATACATGCGTGATACATGTTTGATACATGTGTCGCAGAGACTTTTTTTAACTCGATTTAATTACGAATTTTGATACAAAACCAGTCCAAATCACCTCCAATCTTCCTCAAATTTTGTATATTGACTTCTATATATTTTTCAATGAATTTCAACTATACCCATTAAAAATTTCCTTTTTTGTTTAGATTTTTGGAATATTGTATAGATTTTTGTATTTCATCACCTTATTTGCTACCCCGTCCATGAAATTTTCTTTCCGTCTTGTATCTAATGTTGCTAATCACGCTTAAAAATATAAAAGGTGATTTTTGCATGTGATTCTTTGAGAGAAAGAACCCTATTATTTGGTTTTTAATTTGTTGGCTAGTTTTGGTAAGTCTATGACTAATGGCTAGAGGTTGGTATGTTGAGATTTATTTGGAACATTTGTGTAAGTTTCCCTATTTTATATAGCTTAACATGTAATACCAAATTAATTATTTTTATCATATTATCAATTAATACTTATCGAAGTAGTTCGCTTGAAATTATTTCATAAGTTCTTGATAGTGTAAAAGTGAAACACAAAAAAATAAAATAAAAATATACGTATTTATCTCTACTTGCCTTTATTACGTGGACAACATTGCCAACCACCTTCCCCTCCCATATATAACCATGGCAGAGCAAAATTATTTTTCTATTGTGTGTGTGAGTAGAGGCGGGTACAACTTCCAAAATTCTTAGTGTTAAGCTTATTATATTTAAAAAGTTATGGGTTTATAGTTATTGATTTTTGTAATTATATTAAAATTTTACACATAAATTTATATATTTCGCCTCGAAAGCATTAAATTCAGTTGAAGCCGACACTCCTACGCTTCATCCGCCCCGGGTGTGAGGAGATAGGGAGGTGGAAGGTGAATTGGATGGTATTTATGGGGCGGTGGTGCATTGTACACGTGAAGGGCACCTTATATTAGTCTGCCACATTGTCATTAAAAATTTAAAGAGGGCAGCGGTGGATTGTGGATATATAGTTAGGTCTACTTTCTTTGTGGATTAAAACAGAATTTTGTTAAGAAATGACATAAACGTATTTAATTAGGAGCAGAAGAAAAGGGTTTTTAGATTGGTTTATTGTGTTAAATAGACTGGATAAGAGTACATTGTTCTTAGTTCTAACAGTAGAACAAGGCATAGGATTCTGGACTTTAATTTTAAGTCCGTTACTTTAGAAACTTTGGTTTGGAAAAGTGATTTTTGGCTTTCATGCTTATACAAATTAAAAGCAGCGGGCCATGTAAATTCATAATTTACAATTCCACAATTCCGTTTATAATAATTGGAATAAAGGAATTTTTGGAACACCGAATTCGTTTAATGTCACCTAAGTTACAAAAGCAAAGGGGAACGTGGTGCTATCATCATAAAAATTCCTTTCCTGTCTGATTTTGAATCATGAAGACTTTACCAAAGTAGATTTTTCATAATTACACAATTTTTAGAGTTCTCTAACTTTTATAAATTAATACGACCAATCTTAATTTTGTATTTTATTACTTCAACTTCTTTAATTATTCAAAGTCAGTTTTAACAAATATGGTTGATTCCATACGTGTGACTCAAACAAGCTTCACTCCAACTTCGGCCAGGATCTGAATCAATCTAGAAGGCCAAGAGCCATTGCTAGGTTTTTTCCAATGACCGACTTTTTCCGGGGCAAGTGCACAGACAACCATTCTCAAGGATGCTATTTAAAAATTAGTCTACTTATTTTGTCTTGAAATTTTAAGCTAAAAATTTTAACTTTACGATATTTTTGTCCCGAAAATTTGAACTGAAAAACTGAAATTCAGGACGCACTGATAATTCTTAAATAGCAGCTCTTTAGAGTGGCTACCTGGTGTCATTTCTACGAGTTTTCCTAATTCCCATACACTCTTTAGTTTCCAGTCTGGCCCAAAAGGAAATTCCACGAGTGAAATGGGTCACACATGCAATATTAATCTATCATATGTTTGTCAATTAATTCGATCATACTAAACATAAAAGGACACATGAAATTTTTTATTCGTAATTCTAGTAAATTTATTGAAATGAATTGATTTGTTTGGGTAACTAAAGAAACTGAAACAACCAACAAAAACCAAAACCAAAACCAAAAAAATTCCATTAGTTTGATTTGGTTTATATACTTCGCAAATCGATAAATTGATTTGATTTAATTTTGAGTAAAGACCAAAGTCAAACCGAATTGTGAACATACTCATTCATTGACTAGTGGGCCAAACATTAAACCACTTTGGGTCTAAACCCCAAACAATGGATGGAAATTGCACTAGGTAACCGCTTTTAGAAAAATTATTTAAACTATAGCCTATTTTTAAAAACAGTTTACAGTTTAGTCTGGTTCGGCAAACTACTACTTCTGATGATGGACCTTTCATTCCCAATGCTATAAAGGTTGAACTACCAAAATCAAACGTAAAAATTGCACAGGTCGTACTATTTGGTCGCCCCCGTTTAACCTATATCCATTTTTTTAAAAATTTTTAACTTGTACCCACTTTTTAAACAGTTTTAGCTCCCTTTCTCCTCCCCTTCAGTACCAAGGTTGTGTTTTAACATTTATAAATAACGATGGAATAGTAGTATCAACAAACTGAAGAGAAAATGCAGTTCTTTATCTGCATAAATACTAAAGGGGAACTAGATTTTGATAAGAGTTGGTATCCAAGTTCTTTGTGCATTTAATCTTTCTCATTCTGATGTTTTTTTCATCTACAAATATTTCTCTACTGGACAAAATGGTGATATATGATAATGAGAAACAACGAGTTGGATGACTTCCAGCAAACTGCAAGAGGCTACTACTACCAGATAAATTACTCATAAGCATGAACAAATACTTTATGACTAAAAATCTCAATGAGAATCACCAAAGTTATAGCGGCTATCTAACGAAATATCAATTTGAAGCTAGCTTAGAAATATCAAGCTAGCTTAGAGCTTAAGTTTTTCAGTTACAACACAAAAACTTCAGCTCTAGAGCTAAAGTTTTTCAGTTACAACACAAAAACTTCAGCTCTATAGCTAAAGTTCGCTAGTTACAAAACAAAAACTTCAGCTCTAGAGCTGAACTTCAGGCCCGGCTACTAGAATGCTGAAGTTTTGCGTGATTGCCTTTGCTACTTCATCCCCGTGTGCTGAAGTTATGTGAAAAAGCGGGTACGCTTGTAATTTTTTTTACAAGCGGGCACAAGTTAAAATGTGACACAAAAAACGGGTGTAGATGCAAATGCCCCAAATCAAACTTAAGACCTGAAGGCTCTTATCTGAAGTTTGAAACACTTTTTAATAAGTAACTTTTTAATTTTTGGTACACCTCTTAAGAAAATACTTACTCCTAAAATAAAAGTATTTTAATTAAATCACCCTTACTTAAAATTTGCATATTGTTAACTTGACATATTATGATATGTAAATAAGAGTAAATTTTAATTATTATGGACCGGAGGTAGTACTTTATAAGTTTTGGTTGTTTTTTAAATAGCGGTTTTAAAAACGGCTCTTTGTGCACTTCGGCCAAACAGTAGGGTGTAAAAGTGTAAATTAACAATAACAACAACCCACTAAAATTTTACCGGTGGGATCTGAGGAAGGTAGTGTGTACGCACACAGTACCCATATATCAAAGTAGTAGAGAGGCTGTTTCCAAAAGACATACCTCAACAACACAAAAAGGAAAACTGTAAATTAATTACTTTTAAAAAATAAATAAATTAAGTACTTAAAAGAAATAAAAAATGTGTGGGTGGCGCCTTCTTATCTCCTTCAAACAGATGGAAAATTGTTAATAGGAGGTGATACTTTGATAGAGAGCGAGAGAGAAAGAAGTGAGGAATATTGGCTATGGCGTTGGCTTGGGCGTTGCCTTCTTCAGCATCACCATTTATTTCTTCTCTGCAAACTCGAAAGCAAGCTTATAATTTCGCCTCATCAAGAAATTCCTTTCAACGCTTTGTTACTCGTTCCAGTTTCTCTGATTCCTCTGCTGGTCTTTTCCTAGCCGCCAAACATGCAGTAAATACTCCTTCTTCTGCGTCTCTATTCTTTTTTCTTGTAAAACATGCGAATTGATCTGTGTTTCTTTGTATTGTAGGTGGATTCTTATGTGAAGAGTGGTATGGTAATAGGATTAGGTTCAGGTCATGCTTCTGCTTTGGCTATACAATATCTAGGTCAGCAACTTAGGGTTGGTGCTATAAAAGATGTCACCGGCATACCCACGTAAGTTTAAATGTCCAATATTGCTTCAATGTCTTGATGCTGGTAAATTATACACTTAGTATACACATGAATTGGTCATAGTTCCTTTAACATAAAAATCTGTACTTTGCTTCGGCTGTTGTATTCCAACTATATAAAGAATCATTTACTGTGATCGCAAAAGGAAAATAAAGAAGGGAAATATGATACCATCATAAAATCTGATTTTGGTATGTTCCTTTCGAGCGTTTTCCTTGTTGTAGTTCATAATATAGATTAATTTACCCGTTGAATAGACATACTCAATGTATATTGTTTTCCTTATCCCGTTTTCTCTTCATTTTCCTTTTAGGATCTGTTTGGTGTGTAGGAAATGCTTTATCTCGAAAAATCATTTCCAGTATGGTCGGATATTTAGCTTACATATGAAACAGTAGAAAGGGGAAGATTGGTCCTGAGGATAATGTGTTGTTGATTTTTTGAGTATTAATGTGATAATAATGTCTATGTATTGGTTGAAGTAATGATATGGAGTACTAAAAGGATTTATCCAGCAAAATGACTTCCACTCGTAATGGAAGGAAGTCAATTCCCCTATCCAATCAATCGACTTTGCCTCTGTGGGTTCTGCTATATGAATCCTTTATAACCATTCCACTCTATTGAGCCAAAACACGTCCTGGTTTCTTTACAGAATACATTTTCAACAGAATACATTTTTCGTCATACCAAACACAACTTAAAATTTACTCCCATGTAATAGTTGAATGTCAGCTTGTAGTTGGATTGACTATTCTGCCCTTTCTTATTTATTTTCCATATACTTGAAGCCTTGTTATTGAGTTTGTTTGTTTTTCCATTAGGAGTAACCAGGAACGCTCTGGTGCAGATGTGTTGGCAGCGCAAGTGAAGCAGCAAAGGCAGGAATACCCTTGGAACAGTACAATGATAGTTATAAGGTGCGCACCACTACTAAGATTCTTCCTAAGATAGTTGCATTAGGAGTTATTAAAAATGTGAGCCTCTAGACACCATCTTGGACCCGCATATGAATTCAGATTGCAGTTAAAGTCTATATAGCTATTTAGTTTAGTTTGAGTCCCATCATGCACATATTAATGGAGCTAGCAATAGAAGATCCTTGGTCAGGGGAACGTAAATTGAATTACCTTCGTGAAAGAGAGAGAAAATCCTATTGAAGTGAAGTCAGAGTAAAATTTCACATGATCGTTCATTGTTGCTCCAATTTAAGTAGTACAGCTTTAAAGCCTAGTATCTGGGATTTTGCTTTATTCTGTCACTTGTTGAATTATTGCATTGAAGCTGATATGTTTCATGCAATCTTTCTATGTTTTCTTACTTAGATTGACCTAGCATTTGATGATGCTGATACTATGGAAGAAGAAACACTTGCAGCAATCATTGGGCGTCGGAAACTGCAGGGTGATGATTCTATAATTCAAGAGAAGGTCTGTCATGTTTCTCGTGGTTGTTATGTATTCAACCCCATTGATATTAAAAGGGCAGCCCGGTGCACTAAGCTCCCGCTATGCGTGGGGTCCAAGGAACCCCATTGATATTCTGAATGAAAATATCTCTGTACTTCAACAAGGCAATCATTGTTTTGCATGTTTGTCTCTTCTATCTTTTATCTTGATTTGTAACATATCATTGCTTCTTTCAGTGTTTCAGCTAGTTCCTTATCTTTTGTCATCTTTCTTAATATTCACTAATTTCTTATGAGGCTGCGTTGGCTAATATGGCTTGCAGATTATTCTGGAAGCAGCTGATAAACTGATTCTTATTATAAAGGAAAAACAATTCAAGGGCAGTGTAGATGGTTCAATTCCAGTACTAATTAAATCTGTAAGTTCCCTACCAATTGCTAAATGCTGATGAACAATTGTAGCTCAAAAGGTGAGAACTGTCCTCATTTAAGCTTATTGACTTCTCAGGTTAACTGGCTTGAGACAGCTGAAGAAATAGATGACCTCTTCCTAGGGGATGCGGAGGTAAAGCCTAGTCATGTATTACCCTGTTAAGGCATTAAAAAATCTCTCTCTCCTTGCCAAACTCTGATGTTTGCAAAAGACCAAGATAGGATGTATTTCTTGGGCAAGTAATATTCTTCCTTAATGATAGTCTTTCGAATATCAGATAAGTGGATCACATTTTCCTCCACTTAGTTTACCAAAGGAAAAGACCTTTTTCTTCCTCTCTCCCTTCTCTTTTTGACCTTGGACTTTTCACCTCAATAATATTTATGCTAGGATTAGGATTTACTGGACATTTTTGCCAGTGCCGCAAGCTAAAGTTGCAGTCTTCTTTGAGATGGTCTTTTTAGATTGTATAATCTCTTTTTATCTCTGGGAGATATTACATTTTGAGCACTGTAAACTAGTATCTATCAGTCTTACATTTTCTCCTTGTCTTTCATATTTGTATTAAACCTCATCTTTCTGTAATGATATATGAACCAACATCATCGAAGTAATATTTGAAGATCAATTAGAAACTTTCAGGGGACATAGTTGATTCTCTTTCCATTTAATTGTCACGCTCATTAATTATTTGTTTCTTTGTGGAGGTTTGGAGGAGGCCAGCTATAGGGTATGCAGGTCCACTGGGAGGTGATTTCCCTTTAGTCACTAAAGAAGGGCACAACATTCTTGATGTCATATTTACGTCTCCAATGGAAAGCCTTGGTATATCTCCATCTCCAAAGTATTCTTTGCCACTCTTGTTCAACTTGTTTGAGCTAACTGCTTACCTCCCATTGTTCATGTGGCAGTTGAAGTGGCTAAAACTCTCGATCAAATTGATGGTGTTGTGGAACATGGCGTCATCTTCAGGAACCCGTTAGTTCTCCTACCACTTATGTTTATCTATCTCATCCATTTCCTATTTTTATCAGTCATTATGCTTGATACGTGAAAATGTTGGATAGATATAAAGATAGTATCTGTGGAACATAGTTATAAGCAAAATAAGTAAATGAAACATTGTAGATAAACTGGTTAGATTTAAAGGTTGTAGCACTTAAATTCTTGAAAGTTGCCTTCAATAGCTCATGGGTGATTAATTTTAAATGTGTAAGACATTTCGGGTTGTTTTAGAAAGGAATCTTCGCCTATCTTACATCAAGTGAAGGGATCTACAAGTTTATGCAGCGTGAAGGATTCAATTTCACTCATGCCTTGGTCTCAATTGCCGAGTTGCACTTGAGTAGTCCAATGGCTTCAAGTCTAAACTTTAGACTCTAAAGACAAGAATTTAGTTCAAACTTTATAAATAGATTTGGACCTTTGACCTCAGAAGTCATTCTTTTCTACCATAAGTTCAAACATTGAAATATTAGTAATTAGGTATTTAGGAAGAACGTTAATGATCTTATATGGAGATCAAGGTTTATTTTTTTGCATGCTCAGATTCCTGTTATAATTACTAGCTTTCCTATTCCTTTTTTTTATTTGGTTATGGAAGTAAAAGGATATGGATCTGGACAGTCTCTCTGATGCTGCATAAGCATTCTAAAATGGTTAAGAATAATTTGGCCAAGTTTCTTTTGGCTTAAATCATAAATCATTGAGGAAATAATGCACAAGCAACTGGACATACTGTGTGAGGTTGCGCTTGAGTTGTACATGTCCACCCTTATAAATCCTCGAAGCGATTAACCCCTATTTTTTTTTCAGTTGTTGATAGTTTTGTCCTAGTTTCGGGATGAGTGATAAGATTTATGCTTTATTTAGCAAGGAGGAAAAGGAAGTTATGGCATAAAGCGTAGAAGAATATGACTTTCTTATTTTGCTATTAAAAAAAAAATTCTCTTCTCTTATGCTTGACATAGTATACTGAGAGGAAAATAATTTTCCACTTAGGGTGTGTTTGGTATGAAGGAAAATATTTTCCATGAAAAATGTTTTCATGGAAAATGAGTGGTTTTATATCTTATTTTCCCTTATTTGGTTGGTGAGTGGAAAACTTTTTCCGAAAAATATTTTTTAGTGTTTGGTTAGAGAGCAGAAAATATTTTTCTAGGAAAATATTTTTTTATGCTACTCTCCTCACCTCCCCCTCTCCCAAGTCCCCATGTTTCCTTGCTTGCCCCTTCCCCCCCAAGTACCCGACGTTTTCAGGACACTATTTTCTTCAAGGAATTTAATTATTCTTCTAAAAATTCACACAAATCCTAACGAACTAATGCAATGCTTTACTTTTTTATGCAAAAATAAGGTAAAATTTCTGCTCCATAACTAAAAAAAAAATACTCTTTTTTTGGTTGAAAAAGAAAGTACTCTTTCTACAACATGAAAATAAAGTACTCATTTTATTGAAATAAAAGAAAATACTTTTTCTACATCATGAAAAGAAAATACTCATTTTGTTGAAATGAAAAAAAAAAAAACTTTTTTTACATCATGAAAAGAACACTTTTTTGACTTTTTTTTGTTGAAATGAAAAAAATACTTTATTATATCATGTAAAAAATAATGGGAGACTTTAACACTGTCCTATCTAGTGAGGATAGAGTGCAGGGGAATGTAGTACAAGAGTTTGAGGTGAAAGACTTCAAAGAGTTCATATTGGATGTTGGACTAGCTGACTAAGAACTGTGGGTAGAAAATATACTTGGGCAAACAACCATGTCCACAGTAAAATTGACAGAATCCTTATTAATGCAGAATGGATCCAAAAGTGGCCTACAATGGAGGGGAGTATTTTGAAGCCTGGTTTCTCGGATCACTGCCCTTTGAGCATAACCTTTGATGACAATAACCAAGCTGGAAGTAGACCTTTCAAGTTCCTAAATTGTCTGGCACAACATAAGGAGTTTGAGGATACAATGAAGCAATGCTGGATAAAAGGGAGCAAAGGAAATGCAATGTTTAAGGTTTGGAATAAGCTCAAATTGCTTAAGGTGGAGCTGAAACAGTTGAATAGTCAAGAGTTCAACAACATTGGGCACAAAATTCAAGCAGCAAGATCTAAATTGGAAGGTATACAGGATCAAATGCTAGGACTAGGGAATGACAGTGAAATAATAGCTCAAGAAAAGAATATAAAACTGGAATTGGCTAAGTGGATAGAGGTTGAGGAGAGTATATTGAAGCAGAAATCAAGAATTAAATGGCTCAAGTTAGGGGACTCAAATATAGCATACTTCCATGCTTGTGTAAAAAATAGGCAAGCAACAAATCATATTGACAGATTAGTACACAGTACAGGGCAACTACTTCAGAGTCCAAATGAAGTGGAACTTAAGATCCTAATCTTCTACAAGATGTTACTTGGTACATCAGCATCACAGTTACCAGCAGTCAACACAGAAGTCATGCAGAAGGGATATATGTTGAGTAGGAAACAACAATTACAGCTAATCAGAACTGTCACAAGAGATGAAGTCAAGCAAGCAATACAGGACATTGATGACAACAAAGCACCAGGATGTGATGGATATAATTCTTTCTTCTTTAAGAAGACATGGCATATACTGGGGGAGGAGATTTCTTTGAAAGTGCTGAAATGTGTAAACCTATTAATTGTACCACCATTACTTTGATCCCTAAAGTAAAGAACCCAAATAGCATAAAGGAGTTTAGACCTATATCTTGTTGTACAATGCTATACAAGATAATATCAAAGATTCTAACAACAAGACTGCAGGTAGTTATGCCAGACCTTATTGACAATTGTCAAACAGCTTTTGTTCCAGGAAGGTTGATCACAGACAACATCATTATGAGTCATGAATTGGTTAAAGGCTATGGGAGGAAGAATATCTCACCAAGGTGCATGCTGAAGATTGATATGTAGAAAGCCTATGATTCTGTGGAATAGGTATATCTTGAACAGATGATGGGAATGTTGGGAATTCCAGAAAAGTTTGTAAAGTGGATAATAGTATGTATTAGCACAGTCTCTTATTCTGTCATAATTAATGGTAAGCCAACCAAGCCCTTTGAAGCAAGGAAAGGACTCAGACAGGGGGATCCTCTGTCACCACTGCTATTTGTGATGGCCATGGAGTACCGACTAATGAAGCAATTGAGGGACAATAAGGAATTGAGATTTCACCCAAGATGTGATAAAGTCAATCTAGTACAATTGGATTTGCTGATGATTTATTGCTTTTCTGTAAGGGAGACATACAGTCTGTCAAGATCCTGCACAAGCAATTTCAAACTTTCTCTGCAGCATCAGGACTAATTGCAAATCCAAATAAAAGCTGTATCTATTTTGGAGGAGTGGACAATCGAACACAGCAACATATTATGGAAATATTAGGATACACTAAAGGAGAACTACCTTTTAGGTACCTTCGTGTTCCTTTGGCTGACAACAATGCAATGTGAACCCCTAATTGATAGAATGCTAAGCAGAATACAATGCTGGACAACAAAGTTTTTATCATATGCAGGTAGAGCAATGCTAATCAAGAGTGTGTTAGTGGCAATTCAGAATTTCTGGGCTCAAATCTTCATACTACCGAAAATGATCATACAGTTTATAGAAACAACATGCAGGAGATTTCTATGGTCGGGCAGTGCTGAACCAACTAAGAAGGCATTGATTGCTTGGGATAAGTTATGTGCTCCAAAGGCAGCAGGAGGGCTAAACTTCATCAATGTGGAATTGTGGAATAAAGCAGCCATGTGCAAAGCTTCTTTGGAACATTTGCACAAAGAAAGAAAAACTGTGGGTTCAATGGATACATGCTTACTATATAAAAGGGAACACTATATGGAACACTGAGCCAAAGAATGCATCGTGGGCTATCCAAAAGATCTTCAAGGCCAAAAGACAGTTTGAAGAGCTGGTTATTCAGAAGAAGAAGTGACTCGAATGGAAAAGTTCTCTATAAAGCACATATACAAAGCACTGCAAGGGAACTTTCAAAAGGTGTCCTGGAGGAAGATAGTCTGCAATAACAATGGGCTTCCAAAATAGATATTCATCTTAAGGTTGGCACTACAAGATAGGCTAGCCACCAAAAAAAGGCTAGCAAGATGGGGAATAATAGAAGACACAACATGCTCACTGTGTAAGAAAGAGAATAAAACAATACAACACTTGTTTTTTGAATGTGAACTATCAGATGCTGTATGGCAGAAGCTTCTACATTGGCAAAGAATGAAGAGAAGGAAGAAAGAATGGCAGGAAGAAATACAGTGGATGGAGAAGGTGGCCAAAGGGAAGAGTGCAGGAGCAGCAATATGCAGAATGGTGTTAGCTACAGCAATTTATATATCTGGCAAGCAAGAAATAATATCATTTTCCAGAAGAAGAAGAGTACTGCAAATGCTATAGTTAGATCGATCATCCAAGAGATACACATTAGAGCTCAACAGTTTTCAAAGCTGGATAGCTATTTGAGTAATATGAACTGGTATCCAGATTGAGTTTAAGTGTAGAGGCATTAGGAGAACATGAAGTAAGATAGAAAATCTCCTAGCTGGGGCTTCATGTCGAGTAGGAGTTCTGTTAGGCAGATTAAATTTTGTAAAGTGTAAATATTTTACTTGGTAAATAAAGTCTTTAATTACCCCAAAAAAATAATACTCATTTGTTGAGATGCAAAAAAAATCTATCTATAATATAACATGAAAAGAAAATACTATTAATAATATTTTTCTTTAGAGTGGGGGTTTGGGGTGGGATGGGTAGGTGGGGTAGGGTGTGGGTTTGGGGGTGTGGGGTGGGTTGGTTGGGATGGGGAATAGGGTGGGGAAGGTTGAGAAAGAGTTTTGGAAAATATTTTTCCTCCTCTTGACAGGGAAAACATTTTCCTCCAATTGAAGGAAAATGAGTTCACGAGGAAAATATTTTCCAAAACATTTAAGCCAACCAAACACGGGAAATTGGAAAACATTTTCCGAAAAATATTTTCCTTCGTACCAAACACACCCTTATTTCCTTTCATCTTCTATCTTTCAACTTTCCCTTCCTTTCCCCGTTCCCTAGTTTTCTACCAACAAGCTAGTTTCATTTTATATTTATTTCTGCTTTCACCGGATTAATTTCCAGGTGCACAGCAATCATTGCCTCAGAAAATGGGCTACAGATTGTTGATAATACAATTCAGATGGAATCAAGCAATCTTTAGGGGCAAAGCTTAGCTGAGTGGATGACATATTTTATGAGCTTGCCACTGTTTTCTATTTTAAGTGTTCTGAATCTTTTTGACGTGGAGGAAGGCAAGATATCTTTGGGTACATTTCAAGTTCTTATTATAGGGCATGTTTTGTTAAACAATAAGATGCTTTTACAATTTGTTTTTGGAGTAGGAAGAGAAGAAAACGGAAAAAGGAGAAGTGTGGACAATTTCTTTTTGTCCCATTGGTTAAAGAGCGGAACACTAGTTCTTTTCTTCACTTTCATTTCCCCGGCTTCGAAATAAACTTTCAACCAGTTTTCCTTTTTCCTGTGTAACTGGAATTCATACGTCCCGCTGCACACGCCTAATGAGGGATGAATTATCAAAAGAGTAACAAATCTGTCAAAAGATTCTATCCCTTGAATCTTGATCCATTTAGAATTATATACTGGTTCATTTTTTCATAAGATGAAATTAGTCATATTTCTAAATCGATCGTGTGTTTTAGCCTTCAATTAATTGAACAGAAGTGTTATACTAGTAACCAGGATTTTATTTCAAATCCTGATTGCTTGTAGTCTCTCTCTCTCTCTCACACACACACACACAAATAAAAAACAAAAAATGAACTGCAATAGGCATAGGAAAGCCCATACCATATAGTAACTGGGAACAAACTACTATTACTATCATCATCCTTCTAAATGTAAATCTTACAACAAACTTTACAATTCGAACAAGTGGGCTGACCAATGCCATTTCCTTCGAATCTTTCAAATGACACTATACAGGGACTCGTTTTCCACGGTAGCGGTCAAAGAACTGCAAAAAGAAAAATAATCTCAGACCAAAAGAAACAGAACATGAACCACTGCAGTGCATACTTTTCCCCTTTAGATTGAGTAATGATGTATCAGTGCAAGAGAAAATTATAATCATTTTTCAAGTTTAATATCTAGTGACACCGAAAGATAATTTTTGCTTTGTTTGAAAACAACAATCATTTAACTTTATAAGTCAAAAGAGTGTTTATCTTCTTCTGGACTATTTTTTGTGTGGAGCTTTTGCATTGAGGCACGAAGTCACTAACCAACAACAACAACAACATACCCAGTATTATTGCACACTGTGGGGTCTGGGGAGGATAGTGTGTACGCAGACCTTACCCCTACCTTGTGAGGATAGAGATGCTGTTTCCAATAGACCTTGCTCAGGAAAGCATATGCACCACATTAATGAAAATATAGAAAGAATAAAAGCAGAATAAAGACAACAAGATAGTAAGGTGATCAATAATAAAAAAAAAACAAAGATTATTCATAAAAACCTACTACCAAGCGAAAGCGAGACTGCGTGCCAATACTATTGTTATGAACACTCTAGACTACCTACTACACTACCCTAATCCTCGACCTCCATAGCTTCCCATGGTTGATAATTGGGGTCGGGTCTCGGATGTGAATTTGAAGATAACAAAATTGCAGCCATAGGAGGATTTTCCCTTCTGTGGTACCGCCTTAATTCAGTACCTCAACATCTTCAGACAGATGCATGAGGACTGGAATGTCGGACAACTACTTCATGATTAGGCATTTTGAGACTCGATCATGACACTGTATGATCCCTTACTAGAGTAGGGGATTCCAAGACCCCAATCACCTTAATATCAGATATCTAACAACCAAACAAAAAGTCTGATTTATTTAACATGGTAGCAATGGAGTGATACAAAGAATCGATGCATTAACAGAAAGCATCAGATGGCTTGATAATCTACCAAATGTAGAGCGAGATACCCTCTGGCCTCCCAATTTCATTCTTACAAAGTATAAAGAAACTAGTCATACTTTGTATTCTAGTAAAGCCCACAATAAATTGGTAAGATTGTAATGCTATGGGCAGATGGAGACAAGTGGGGATATCCTAAGCCAGAGACGGCGTCACATAGATCTTAGGATTCAGAATTACGAATATGAGTCCAACCAATCTGTTATGTCTGGAACAGAAGAACACATAAATTTTGAAGAGAACTGCTTTTCTTAAAAGCTATTAATGAAGTCCTTCCCCCAAACTGAAGGCAATGGAAGAAAGTATATGAATTATGCATAAACATACCGATCTGACAAAGGGCTGCTGGAAGATCCAACCTAGAATAGGTAGCTTCTGCAGAAAAACTGCCAATGTTGGCCAGAAACCACTGTGCAAAATTATCCATCAGCAACCAAGTGTAACTAAAAGAATATTTGGGCACCTCAAGGAACCATAAAACATATTTACCTGAAGAGTACAACAAATCCATATGCCTCAAGAATCATTCCCAGTTTAGGCCAACCAATGATAACGAAGAAAAAGCCAGCTCCAAATGATATTGTTCCCTGAGGAGCAATGAGAGAGAGAGAGAGAGAGAGAGAGAGAGAGAGAGAGAGAGAGAGAGAGAGAGAGAGAGAGAGAGAGCCAAAAAAGATAAACATATAAATAATAGAAACATAAAAGATGTACCACCAGACCATAACTTTTAGACAGATAAAGAGCAATAGTTGGGGTGAACAGGAAGAGCAAAAAAGCCCAAAAGCAACTAAACCTTGTAATTACTACGTTTCATAAAGAACTGCAGTGATGACTTGAGACCGATGGTCAGCGCCACCCCTGAGAAGAAGAGGATCTGATTCAGTAAAATAACACCATGTCAACTGGTGCCCAAAGGAAAGTGGTAAATGACAAGTCAGAGAAAACCAAAGATAAGTGACGATCATGGCAATATTCTGGACTTACATTTCCCAAGGCAATTAGTCCCTTGTCAAAGAACAATATGATACCCAAGAATGAGAAAAACACTCCGAATCCTGTCAATCCTAGCCCAATCTCTGTTTCAACGATCAGCTCAAGTTTAGCAGACATAACATTTCAAATAGCAGAACATCATGCTTCTTCTTTATTCAATCGTACCATCTCAATAGCTAGGTCTTAACTGAGCAGAGAACACACTATATTTGGCAAAACAATGAAAGAATGCAGACTTTTGCACCCCCAAAATAGGAGATTGATTTGCTCCAATTGAGAGAAACACTAAGCTACAAGCCTAAGGTGCAATTTCTAAATAGTTCATGACACATAGATCAAACTACATGCTCCATGCTTCCTGCAAGCAAAAGCAGACATGTTCTAAATTTCCAAAGCAGTTGAATACACGCTCGTCTTTGGAGAAACCACATTTAGTGGGCGTTTGATCATAAGAATTGTAAAATTTCAAAAAAATTGAAAAAAAATTTCAAGTGAAAATGGTATTTAAAAATTAGAGTTGTGTTTGGACATGAATATAATTTTTGGTTGTTTTGAAGTTTTGTGAGTGATCTGAGTGAAAATTTTGAAAAGCAGTTTTTTTGGAGTTTTTCAAATTTTCGAAAAATTCCAAAATTCATCTTCTAAGTGAAATTTGGAAATTTTATGGCCAAACACTGATTTCGGAAAAAAGTAAAAAGATTTCGAAAAAAGTGAATTTTTTTTTTTTATGTTCAAACGTCTCTTAAATAAACTAGCCAGCAAAATAAGAACCTAGGTCCAATCATTTGACTTACTTTTGAGATCATTCATTTCAAGCGAAAGCATCTTCGCGGCTTCAATCCTAGCCAAACACAATTGAAGCCTACAACACAGAGTCCATCATAAAAACGATTAGTTCTCAATCATAAATAATCGATGTAGATACGCCACAATGAGAAATGAGCTCAGATGACATTGATATTCCTGGTATAGTAGATGCTATCGCACATACAATCATACTCAATTCAATGGAATTGTTTGATCTTAAAGGGGATTTTCTATAATTTCGGACGTGAGGGGTTATTTCTTGGTTTCGTCCAGTCATTAATAACTTTATTATTTTTAGATAATAGTAGATAGAAACAACGCTTGTAAGGAGTCCTATTAAAACCAAGAAATATAGGCCTGCCTGCCATCCACACCAGAATGAATAGAGTTTTCCGAAAAAACCTGCTAGTGGAGGAAGACCGCAAAACTCAGGATCAAACAAGTTACTTAGGGTTTCAAAACAGAGAAATGTTTGTCTAATACGCAGCAGTTTAACTGAGTCAATCTAAAATTGCCTATACTTGCAAATACAAAAAAGGGCAGCCCAGTGCACTAACCTCCTGCTGTGTGCGGGGTCCGGGTAAGGGCCGGACCACAAAGGGCTGGTTCCACGACTTGAACCAGTGACCTCCTGGTCACATGACAATACACTTATTTGTTATAAATTAAAAAATATACTTGTAAAAACTTGTAAACCCTATGCTGTTGCATTGGGCTTCAGCTCGATTTGATCGAAATTTATATGCATAAATGCGAATTTCAAGTTGATTTTGAATGAATAGGCACTAGTATTACAAGATTACGATGAGTAAACGAGGTGAAACGAACTTCTATTCAGAGTTCGTAACTTATGCTATAATACAACATATTCAACTAAGCTTGATTTTCCAAAATTCAAAGACAAAATACACTTGGGAGATACACATCAACGACATGAATCAGTACGATTTTTATGGAAGGAGATGAGGCATTTTACAATTTACAGAACGAACCTGAGAAATGGAGAGACTCACACAAACTCTGAAGGTGCTTTGTGAATAAGATAATCACGTTGAACTTTGGGGAGTATAATTTTTTTTTTTAAGAAAATGATTTTGAAATGATGGAAATAAGTAGTCGTTTCGACATAAAGATTGGACCTTTTAAAAAAAAGTAATATTGGGAGTTAAGTTGAAAATAATATTTGGAATTTGAAATTGTGTTAGACATTCATTTCACTTTAAAAAATATTATAGTTTTGTGAGTGCAATTTTTTTTTTTTTGAAAAAGTGGTTCATTTTCGATTTTTTTAAAAAAAATTGCAAAATATCATGAACAAATATATTTTTAAAAACAAAAAGAGTCTAACTTTTTTATGGATAAACGGGTCCTAAATAGCTAATTAAGAAGATGTCAGATAAAAAATGTAATATTAATATGTGTTACTAGTATACTAGTCATAGAGACGAAAGTAGTAGTGTCTTGTGTTATTTCAAACTTGATTTGACAGTTTATTAGTTAATGGTTAACATTGTTTACCTCAAAATTGGGTAACAATTAAATTTATATTTGGTTTAATGATATGCGGTTTAATCCAACGCGAACAATTAGGAATATCAAACAAACGAGTTAGAAATGAAATAAACGTTCAAATTAGTTGCAATATTATGGCCAAACCCGAGCTTAGACTGCCGAATGACCTCTTCCTCGGTTGGACCCTCTGTTCAAGCCCAGTCGTGAATGAAGAACATAACAAATGAGCAAAAACTTTAACAATAGCTAAAAGGCAGAAAATAAACTTGTATTGCTTTGATTTGCGTGTTACAGTGTGTGTTACAAAAAAAAAACTTTCCCTTTATATAGTAGGAGAGTGTCATCCCTAGTATAAGTCTAAAAGGTAAAAATCTTCCTTTTACTGATTCATAATCGACATCGAGTGAGATCCGCGCCGTGATGTCCGATTGAGTGCGAGTATCTTGGCCCTCTATCCGTCATGCGTAACCGTTCACCGTATCTTCTGTGGTTTTAGAACTTATTCTTGGCCCCAGGGCGCGTTGCTTTACCATACCCGATGACAGGCACATCGTTCCCTTTTCCTGGATCTCGATAGGAAGGGTCTCGTGTATCCATGCTCTCCCTCCATTTTCTCATCGGGAAATTGGGGTAAGCATCACCCCCGATTTTACTCGTACACAGATAGTCCCATCATTTTCCGGAGAGTAGTTTTACCGAAACGATGGGAAGCGATAGATGAACCCCGGTTCCTTCCTTCGTACATTACAACCGAGATGAGTCAACAAAACGTCCCATCAGGTGCTTCGTTCTGACTTCGGACACGTGTCAGCCATCGGTTGACTGTCCTCAAATGTGAAACGTCACGCACAGATTGTTCTTCCTCTATAAAAGCTCCGATCCTTTTTCACTTCTTCCACTTTCCCATTCCAGAACTTACCCTCGAATTCTCTAATAACTTTTAACTCCTCCAAATCTTCATACATCGCTCCTTAAACCTTATATCTTCATCTTCAATTCTCATACATTCTCTTTGGATCTTTAAACCAGACCTTCATACCTTCATCCCATCATCCCATCTTCAAATCTTCATATATTTTTTCCAAACCTTCATATTTTTCCTTCAAATCTTCATATTTTCCAGATTATGATGGCAAAAACTTTCAAGTCAGTGCCTCAACACACTTGTCACGATCCAAATCCTCCCTCCGTGAGATGTGGTGACGGCACCTAGTCTCTACGACTAGGTAAGCCTAACACTTGCGAAATAATAAAAATGAAAGCATAAATTTAACAACTAACTGCAACAGACAATTTAATTACTGATATAAGTGCCGCTCGGCATGTACAGTAACCAACTCTCGAATATACACATAATTTTTCCAAGACCCGGAACTTCATAAGTCACAAGCTTCTAAGAATTTGTCTAACTGTTTCTATACATCAGTAACTAGAAGAAGTAAAGGAGGAACAACATAAAAGAGATAGAGGGGGACTCCGAGGTCTGCGGACGCAGGCAGATGTACCTTAAAGTCTCCGGAGTAGCAGCAAGTACGCAACTAATAGCGGGGCTGGTAGGAGGTACCTGGATATGCACACGAAACATGTATAGAAGAGTAGCGTGAGTACACCACAACGGTACCCAGTAAGTGCCAAACCTAACCTCGATCGAGTAGTGACGAGTTCAGGTCAGGGCCCTATTGGTATATATAAATTACATAAGGCAGAATAAAAATATCGTAGTATAATAAGAGACTAAAATATAACAAATAGGAAATCATAGAAGAATAACAGTACTGTACACAGGGGTAAAACAGCAGGGGATCTCCCGAGATACCGTCTCGTAGTCCCAAAAGTAAATATGCAGGGGGATCTCCCGGGATACCGTCCTGTAGTCCCGAAGTAAATATGCAGGGGGATCTCCCAGGATACCGTCCCGTAATCCCAAAGTAAATATGCAGGGGGATTTTTCGGGATACCGTCCCGTAGTCCCAAAGTAAATATGCAGCTCAAAACATTGGAAATAACAGGTACAATAAGAAAATACTACAATTTAGACTAAGTACACGTCAAGGAAGAACAGGAAATCCACTAAGCATGCTGCACAAAGTTCAGATAAGTAAGACAAGTAGACATGCAATTTTAGGCTAAACAAGGTAACTACACATGCTAGTATAACTCAATTAAGATGAAACGAGTTATTACTCAGTAAAAATTGGGTTTTACAACAAATAACCCGTGTATGCACTCGTCACCTCACGTACACAGCGATCACATATTACATCAGTACCAAATCCTAAGGGGAGTTCTCTCACACAAGGTTAGGCAAGCCACTTACCTCGAACCAAGCTCAATCAATCAGTAACAATGCCTTTTCCACGATTTTCCGACTCCGAATGGCCCAAATCTAGCCAAAAGCAATTACATACCATAAATACAACTATAAGAAACTAATCTAATTAATGAAATCAAGGCTTAAGCAATAAATTAGAAAATTGCCCCAAAAAGTCGACCCGGGCCCGCGTCTTGGAAGTGGGTAAAAGTCACAAAATATGAACACTCATTCACTCACGAGATCACTCGTACCAAAATTACTCAAATCCGATATCGAAAACCCAATCAAAACTCAAAAACTTGGTTGATGAACTTTCCAACCTTTTCCCCAATTTTTCTCAACCCAATTCCTTAATTAATGATGAAATCAACTATAAATTAGTGAAATATAACCATAAAGGAGGTAAGAACCGTTACCCAAAAGCTTTCTCTGAAAGTCCTTCAAATAATCGCCCAAATCCGAGCTCTCAAGGTCCCAAAATGAAAATGAGATCAAACCCTCGAAATCCCTCTTTTCTGCCCAGCAATCTTCGCACCTGCGGGCCTTAGTCGCACCTGTGGAAATTCCATCGCAGGTGTGTAAATGACTTAAGAGGGCTGGGTCCGATTCTGCGATGAGGTGGCCG